GAGCTACTGCATCCATAGGTGTAGGTCAAGTTCATCAAATTGTATCAGATGACTCTTTTTTTCCTCTTCTTTCTTCTTCTAGTTGAGCTCTGATCATCCAGTCATTAAAGCCAGGTCAAGTGGTTATTATCTGCAAGTGTGTAAAATACTTGAACTTTTTTGAGAAGGTTGTTGTTATACAATGGTTCATAGTTTTGTAGTTGGTTTAATTCTGATTGCTGAATCACCAAACAAGGTTCTTAAGTTTTAATTTTAGAAGATACGTCCCACATTTCTGACCCATGAACATGTTTTAATAGGGTAGCCAGAAGTATTACATAACAAATTTTACTCTTGGATATGAAAAGTATACTTTTAAAAATAGTTTGTTTCGTTCTTCACATCACTTTCATTTTTTTCATCTAACTCTTATTTATTCTTGTGAATGCTTGCCTGGGTAACTTTTGTACCCTGACATTTAAAAAAAAATATTTAAAGACCCTAACTTTGGGTACTCACCCCTTTTGAATGCAGAAGGTTTTTGGTAACTACCCTGGGTTCTGGTTAGTCATTTATTCTGCTGAAAAGCCAATGGGTACATGGAATCATGTTTTTGTCTCACATTTAAGCTATCTCCTTTTTAAATGCTAGTGACAGAATGTGAGTTTTTAATCGAAGTGTTCTTTTTGCTCTGATGGAGTAGTCTCATCTAGAATAGGTAAATCTTCCTAATTAAGATTCTTTATCTTCACAGGTAGTTGGAGTGGGGAAAAATGATGACTTCGAGGACTCTAAATCCTTAAGTGATGATACTGATGTAGAAGTTAATTCTGAGGTATGAATGTGGTTATATGTGCATATCATCAAATAGGCCCCAGTAGTTCACTTGTGTTAAAGAATGCCATCCCCCTACCCTGCCCTGCCATTCCTTTCTCCCTTTCCTAACTGCTGAGAGATAATTGGTTTCTTTATACATTGCTAGAAGTTTGTATTGGGATTTGAAAAGGGAGAGGGATGATATGATCAAATTCTCTTCCTACCTCAAAAAAGGCTGACTTACCCAGCCTCTCAGTGTGCCCTTCTCCCTGCTGTCAAAACTTTTTGAATATGATACATTGGATGCACAGAAATTAAAAATATTCCTTTACAACTTTGCTCCGTAAATCACCTCTTTGTAACCTCAAAGACAAACTTCTGTAGGTGATTTAAAATTCTTTTTGTCTAGCATAAAAATATTTGAAACGCGTTCTTAAAAAGAAACAAAAATGGCTTTATTTCCTTATACAGATTGATAATAACGGAGGACTCTTAAAGACTTGATATTAAGCTCTTGGGTATGGATTTGTCACCACCAACAGATAACTTAGGTCTAGATTTAAATGCAGATTTTGACTTTTCTCTTGTATGTCGTTTATCAGTTTTCCTTTTAGTATTTCCATTAACTAACTGTGTGGGGACAAGGGTGTAGGGAAGGATAAGAAGGGAATTTTACATTTTGCTGCTTTGTGATGCAGACTTATTTTTAGATGGTCTCTGAAGTTGCTTCACCCTCCCATTCCTTCCCTGCTGTTGACCATTATGGTAATTCACTGCATAGTTACGTAGTAAAGTGAAAATATTGGTCCATTAAATGTTCTTGACTATAATACAAATAACAGAGGTAAGTTTTCCCTTCTTAATCAGACTTCCGTGGTTACTATCAGCCAGAAAATCTATTAGGGCCAATAGACTATATTTCATCAACCCAGAGATGCCATTGAATTTAATAAGCCCTATTATCTTACGAACTCTGGTAGCATAGTGGTTACGATTCAGGCTGCTAATCTCATGGTCAGCAGTTCGAAACTACCAGCGGTTCTGTGGGAGAAAGATGAGGTTTTTGCTCCTGTAAAGATTCACAGCCTCGGAAACCCTATACAGGGTCGGTATGAGTCAGGGCCAACTCCATGGTACATAACCACTACCACCACCATTTTTGTATATACACTGAAAAAGTGATGCAAATTTAAACTATGACACACCGTCAATTAAGAATTCCAAATCTTTATGGAGCTTCTTTGAACATATTTATAATGTTTTAGAAGACATCTGAGATACAGGAGTGTTTTGAAGCCATCTGGAGGGGTTCCCAGGTTAGCAAATGGCTATGTCTCTGCCTTTCAGTCTAGACAGTTGAGTTATGACTTGAAGGTTGAGAAACGATTGGCCTTCATTCTGAAAGTAATCAAGTCAGCCTGTGTCAAATCATTGATCCTATCAAAGCCAAGAAATTACTGGAATTAAACATACTCTTGACTTTTTCTAGGTAGCTAATTTTGAATTAAACAAGCAAGCATTTAGAATTCATTGAGCTTTGGTATCTCCAAATTTGAATATGAGAAGTAGGAAAAAATTACTTGGCATTCAAGCAAAAGAACATTCATTTTTCAGAGGGTGTATGATTTAGGCATACAATTAGCTACCGTGCTCCTGAGAGCATAAGTAAATTTACTAGTTTTCAAATCTCATTTTCGTTTTAGCTTCCTTTTTGCCAAGTCTTACAGCATTTCTAGTTAGTAGGAGAGAATGATGAAGTACTATCTCTTCATTCTCTAATTTCTTCTCTGATAAAGGAGTAAATTGTGCACAGAGAAAGGACCTAATAGAAGACAGTAGAGAATAGCCAAAATACGCTTTCTTATAGAAAACATATCAAAGTTTGGCACTCTTGGTATTTAGTGTCCTAACATTGAATTTGTTCATAATCTGGGTTAGATTACTGTTGTAGAATGCTTTCTGAGATGGGGAGTATTTGGTCTTCCCCTCCCTTTATGTCAGCATAACGTTCACCAGCTCACTCTCTATCGTCTTAACTGATCCTGATTCATAGTGACCCTATAGGACAGAGTTAGAAATGTTGCAGAGAATTTCTAAGACTATAAATCTTTACCGAAGGAAACAGTCTCATCTTTATCCTATGTGGCAGCTTGTGGGTTTGAGTTGCTGACCATGTGGTTAGCAGCCTGATGCTTAACCTACTGTGCCACCAGGGCTCTGTGTTCAACGAGTATTAATTAGCTTGATTTGTCTTTGTAGGATGAATGGCAGTGTACTGAATGCAAGAAATTTAACTCTCCAAGCAAGAGGTACTGTTTCCGTTGTTGGGCCCTGAGGAAGGATTGGTATTCAGATTGTTCTAAATTAACCCATTCTCTGTCCACGTCTGATATCACTGCCATACCAGAAAAGAAAGAAAATGAAGGAATTGATGTCCCTGATTGCCGAAGAACCATTTCAGCTCCTGTTGTTAGACCTAGAGATGGATACATAAAGAAAGGGAATTCCAAACCTCTGGATCCCTGCAGCTCGATGGAGTTCTTGGATTTGGCTCACAGTACTGAAAGCCAAGAGACTTCTTCAAGCATGGAAGAGCAGTCAGATACCCTTTGTGAACAGAGAACAGATGCAGAAAGCATGGAGGATAGCCAGGCTCTTTTGAAACCATGTAGCATATGTGAGAAAAGACCACGAGATGGGAACATCATTCATGGGAGGACAGGCCATCTTGTCACTTGCTTTCACTGTGCCAGAAGATTAAAGAAGGCTGGGGCTTCTTGCCCAATTTGTAAGAAAGAGATTCAGCTGGTTATTAAGGTTTTTATAGCATAGGCTGAGTCAGTGAGCTGCTGAGAACTATAACAGGGCCAGGTCAGAAATCAAAGGATTCGGCATGGAACAGCTCTACTCCGTTTGACTCATTGCATCCTCTCATTTATTCATATAAACAGCTGTGTGCTGGGACATTTTTGCTTCTAAACTCATGGAACTTGAAAGCAAGTTCCTTAGAATTTAGATGATCAATTTGGAGACTCCTTTAACATGAAAAAATAGGTCAGTCACACTATTTTCCCTCCAATGACGAGGGGCCTAGGAAGGAGCAATTACCAGTACATTTATTAATTTGCCAAATTATTAGAAAATTACTCCTTCCTTTGGTTAATTTTATTCTGTTCTTTTCTGCTAGGAAATATTCTTGGGCATCAAAATCCCAGGCAGCTATTAGAAAAATACTAAAGGTAACAATGAAAGAAACGTAAATAATTTGGTGAAATTCTGTAGGCCTCTGGATCCCATTATATTGCAGTGAAGCAGCATGGTTCTGAGAAACCAAAATGAAAGCATTTTCTTAGGGGCAAAGGTGATTACTTTGGTGTGTATGTCTAGAATGGCGGTTACTAAAACATTTTCACTAGCATACTCTTAAAAGAACTTTGAAAAAAATGTATGCCCATTTGCACATTTTAAAAATTGAGGTATAATTAATGTACAGTAAAATGTTCCCTTTTGACTTAGACCTGTGAGTTAATAGCAACCAAAATAAGTTCTGGAAGGATTCAATCACCCAAGAATATGCCTTTGTCTCCCCTTCCAGGCAGTCCCTTATCCATTTCCTGATGCTCACCCTGGGGTAGTTTTCCCTTTGCACATTGTTGACATGGAAGGTTTAAAAATAAATAAAAGTACTTAGAAAGGTTGTACTTCTCAGAATAGTGCATATGTGCTTTAAAGAGACTTTTATCTTTAAACCCTTGGAACTGTAGGGCTGGTTGATTGAATTTATAGAAAAAAGAAAAGTCCTGTCGTATACACAGGCAGAGCTTGTCCTCATTTTTGAAATTAATCAGCCAAATTAGACTTTACTTTCAGTTAGAAAATGTCTGACTTTATTGTAATTAAAAAATGTAACAGTGTAAGTCTCAGGCATAGCCCTCTCAGTTCTAAAAAAGACAGAAGACACAGAATTATTAACCAAAATTCTCTTTGCTTTACTCTTTTTTTCCTTAGGCATTCTGGGTGTTTTTTGTTTGTTTGCTTTGGGGACTCTTACTGCCTCTAGAGATATTTATACTGTGAGGCAATGGATGGATAGCCTTGGTATTTTTGTCTGTTTGTTGAGGACAGGGTTGATTGTTAAAAATGCACAGCATCCCTCTAACCCCCCCCCCCCCCCCTCTTTTTTTTTCACACAGCCCCTCTCCTTCTCTCGGTCTATAGTCCCCAGCTGCTCCATCTCCCCACCCCCCCCAATGATTTAGACCCTCAAGGTCTGGGTTAGGAGCTCGTATTTAAAGTGGCAGTCCTAGCACCAGAGAAGCTCTGATGCAAGTGGTCTCTTACTACATGTTTTTCTGGATATGAAGCAGACAGAGGACAGCACCACGACTCTTCTATTTAGCTATTTTGTTTCTAGAGGGGAACTTTCATTACAATTACAGATGATTTTTTTTTTTTTTTTTTTAACTTTGTATTGTGATTTGAGTGAAAGCTTATAGTTAGTTTTTGGGCCAACAATCCGTACACATTTTGTTTTGTGACACTGACTGCAATCCCCACACTGTAACAGCACTTTTTCCTACTTTGCCCTGTGTTTCCTGTTTCCATTGGTCTTCTTTCCCATCCTCTCCTGTCTGAGCTTTATCCCTGGGCAAAAACTTTTTTGATTTCATATGTCTGATTGTTCTAAGGATAGCTTACCCCTTGTAGTGTTCTTGTTTACCTTATTGGCCTATCTAATGCTTGGCTGAAAGTTAAGCCTTGGGGATGGGTTCAATTTAGGCTTGAAGGGTGACTAAGGACCAGTCTCGGGGGTTCTTTCAATCTTTTATCAGACCTGTAAGCCTGGTCTTTTTTATGAGATAGCAGAATTTTCCAACTAGAATGCATTCATATTCAGCCCCTCTTATTTTGCACAGGAAGCTTGCCTTAGTTATCTAGCATTGCTGTAATAGAAATCCCACAAGGGGGTGGCTCTAAGTGTCAATTCAGGACATTAGCTCTAAGGGAAGGCTTTCTCTTTGTTGTCTCTTCAGCTTTGGTTCTTTGGAGAGTTCCATGTTTGTTGTCATTGATCTACCCACATCTCTGCTCTGCTCTTTGGTTTAGTTTCCTTTATATCTCAAAAGAAATTGACTCAAGGCACACACACACTGCAAGAATCCTGCCTCGTGGACATAGCAAAGACAGTCTGTTTCCAACTGGGATTATAACCACAGGCGTAGAGGTTAAGATTGACAACGCATATTTTGAGGGGCGACAGTTCAATCTATAACAAAGCTGTTGTGTGAGAATAGTGACCCTGAGAATAGTGACCCTTATGCACTACAGATTGAAATAATGCCCAGTTCTGCATCATCCTTACAGTCGTTACATCTGAATCCATTGTAACAAAGCTTACAAATGTTAAATAACTTTGTAGAAAGTCACAGCTATTGATAATGTTATTATTAGAATTCAAGTGTCTTTACTAGTAAATCCTTAAACCTGCTCTCTCATTTTTCGTTAAATATTTTGAATCGTGGTACTTCTTGAACTTGGAACAATTGATAACCTTAATCTAAAAAAATGATATTGGAGATATGGCTTGGGTTAAAAAAAAATTGTCTTTAGAGAGAACAAGGACTTTTAACACTGTATCCCTTTCCCAGAGAGAAAGGGCCTAGAAACGCTCAGATAAATTACTCTTCCCACTAGGAGACTAGTGAAGGTGGCAAAAGTACTGGAACCACTTTTTTCCAAAATTGATTGCTTAACTGGGGAATGAAGCTCCAAGTCTGGCTCTCTAGGCATTAAAGACCAGAAGTTTTCCCCCAGTAAGCAGTACCTATTCTTTAATGTTTTGTTAGACCATGAGGAGTACTCTTAGAAAGTTAAATTAATTTCCTTCCTGTTTTCCCCATAATAATGTTCTCCCTGTAATAGTTTGACAGCCCTCATTTGTCTTTTTTGTCAGTCAGGTGCTTTTTTTTATAAGTAATAAAATGTGGTCAGGGAGTGGGCTGGGGATCTTTGCTTGCCATCCTGTGCTCACCTTATGTAAAGTGGCAATTTTGTAAACTTTGGTAAGTACTGTTGAGTTCATTCCAACTCATAGCTACCCTGCATAGGGTTTCTGAGGAGCAGCTGGTGAGCCTGTACCACGACCTTAGAAGAATTTAAAAATGTGTTTCCCACTACCATCAATTTTAAGTCATAGTGGCCCTATAGAGTAGAGGTGCTCCATATGGTCTCTGTGGCTGTAATCTACAGAAGCAGGCAGCCTCAGCTTATACTCGTTGGTTAGTAGTCGAATACTTAACCCACAGTGGTACCAGTGGTCCTTTGTAGACATTTGATGTGAATTTCCACACATCCTGCACAGCAGGAGTCCTCGTATGGCTGCATTCTCCTCCAGGTTTGCTGACCTGGTTTTCCATTGCTTCCCATTGGCACTACTATGGACTTTGCTTCAAAGATGCTGGTAAGCTGTGTTTGAGCTGAACCTCCCATTTACCTATAGGAAACTGTAAACTATCTTGTTCAGTTTTTGATTCTGTCCTTTTTACCTTACACTGCCATATAGATATTTTTAACTTACTGCCACGAAGGCAAAGTATGATTCATGTGTGAAGTCTTCAGAACGTCCTTTTTTAAGATCAAGAAAAACAGCTCTTATATGACCGGTCATCTTTCAGTTGTCCGTATGGCAGGCTGTCCATATGCTCCGGTTTTCTGGGAACAGTCCTCCTTTACCTGTATTTTTTTGTCTAGTTTGTCTCCTTTCCTTCTGAAAAGCTTTCATGCGGACATTAAGTTACATAGTCACCTTCGTGTAAGCAAGCCTGCTGGAGTTTACATCTTGATTGTGATGGAGAGAGCTGACCAAGTACGTGCCGGTGGAGTTTGGTGTTTCCTGCTGCATTGTGTCCTACATAGACTCCTACGAATGATGACATCATCTGACAGCCTTATACTGCTTTCTCCATTTCATTTAAATTAATATTTATGATCATGTGAACAAAGTTGAGACGGGAAATGTCAAATCATCAAAAAAGCCAATGAATTTTTGGATTACAGCTGAATAAATTTCCTGTCTTCATATTAACTCACTTCCTCTCTTACAGTGTGCTTAACAGTATCTGGATGATTTGTATTTAATGCCTGATTCAGACTTTCTAAGCATCTTAGATATAGCCTCTCAACTGGCATGAGAGTCCATCTCTGGAATTTCCTAGGATCACATCCTAGGCCTGAGTGAATAGTGGGTCTCAGTGGAACCATGTCAAAGCTTCACACTGCCATGAACTGCTCTAGTAGAAGATGAATTCACTGCCAAGCATTTGAAGTGTGCAATTGTGTTTAAATGATAATTATATATATATATGTGTATGTAATGCTTTGTGAGACATACAGTTGAAGAATTTATTTTTAAAGGTCAGTATCACCTGTAGCAAATTTATATGGTGTCACCTCAATACAATGTTGAAAGGTCATTACTGAGACTTTGAAAAGTAATGCGATATTGGTGAATATCAGTCCTTGGGTTCTATAAAAGCTGTTGTGTTACCTCTTAATTCTCTTTAGAGAGGAGGAAACAATAGCCAGTTGTTAGTGTTTTTTCCCCACAGTTATGTGAACTTTTGAAAGCACATGGCTTTAGATACTGTGAATCCGTTAGTCTCCTTATATTGTTCAGTACCATTCCCCAGAGAAGAGTACATTTTGATAATGCCTCCATTCATGGGTCTATTGTGCACACTCTGTGAGGATTCTCAATGTGTTTCGTATAAGTGGCTATAGATTAGTAACTGTGTTTAGAATCTGTGCTTCAGCTCGCCCCTGTGCCAAAAGAG